TGCTACTATGAAGGGTCTTGTGTCTTTGATTTGATTCTCAGCTTGAGTATTGTTGGCATATATGAAGGCTGCTGATTTGTGTACATTGATTTATAACCTGAGACATTGCTGTATTTCTCTATCAATTCCAGGAATCTCACTGTTGAGTCCTTGGGGTTGTCTAAGTACAAGATCTTATCATCAGCAAAAAGTGATACTTTGACCTCTTCTGTTCTCATTTGGCTATCCTTGACAACCTCCTCTTGTCTGATGGCACTGGCTAGGACACCTAGCACTGTGTTGGATGGTAGTGGCAGTAGCAGCCATTCTCGTCTGGTTCCAGTTCTAAGAGGGAGTGCTTTTCAATTTTTTTCTGTTCAATATGATGTTGGCTGTTGGTTTGTCATAGATGGCTTCTATCAGTTTAAAACTGTCCCATCTATGCCAGTTTTCTATCAAAAAAGAATTCAAGAACATTTCTTTAATTGATTTTTATCATAAAAGGATGCTGAATTTTGTCAAATGTTTTTTCTGCATCTATTGAGAGGATCATAAGGTCTGTTTTTTTTTTTTTTTACTTCTGTTTATGTGGTGAATTATATTCATAGATACTCAATAAAATCATAGGAAATACAATTAAGCTACACATCAAACACATCAAAAAAATAATTCATCATGACCGGTTGGGCTTCATCTCAGGGATGCAAGGCTGATTCAACATGCAACCTATAAATGTAGTCCACCGTGTCATTTTCTTCATGGGTGAAAGGAAATAATGCATTCTCTTTGGCAACATATGAATCTGAGGTTTTATGTAGAGAAGTGAAACTTCCAGCGGGATAAGTAAGAACCTGTGTAGATGTTAACAGTAGTAATCATGTTCATTATTGCTACGTGCTGCCATTTGCAGTTTCATTTTCCACTTACCTTAGGATTTGTTTCATAAATTGCAGGAGAATACAAAGAGAACAGAAATGGGGAGGTGTTGTACAAGTATGTAGGCCTCTCTTGCACACATGTACCAAATCTGGGAGATGTTAGAAATAAAGCATTGAAAATGAATATGGGACCAACACTGTGAGGAACTACTGGTAGAATGGAGATGGCTGATTCCATGAGCACAGGGTGGAAACAGCAGCCTGGTTGGGACAGGACGTGTGGTTACACATGCAAGCGGCTTAGATGGCTGTAGCCTTTCCTTCAGAGTGCATCGGCCAAGTTCAGGCTGAGAGCTTTAGCCGGAAACCACCAGTGAAAGTATACATGTGTATGTGGAGAAAAGCCTTCTTCATCATTGTGGTGAACTGGGTTTGCTGGTGGAGTGTAAATCTGGGGTTCTAGGATCTTCTTCAAAGAATAACTCAGAAGAGCTTTCCTGCCACCCTGAACCCTAACCTTTGGGTATTTGGTCTTGCTCTCTCTACAGCCAGGCAGGAAAGGTGCTAACCAGATGAGGTGAGAGGACAGCAGATGGCAGCAGCGTGCCCCCATGGGGCGGGGCACGTGTAGATGGGCTGCTGGCCCTGAGCACCACCAGGGACCCAAAACTGCAGGGGTGGCTCTGCCCTTGCTATGGTTGAGGATCATGCCCTAAAGTGTTTGGATGTAAGCAGAAAGAGAATTGCGCTAAATTTCAGCCTCAGGTGCACTAAGAGCTGTGGTGTGAGAGCCCCTTTGCCTGTGTCCATTGCCAGAAACTCTTCATATGCAGCTGGTTCTCACATCACTCTAATAGCAGTTAGATTTGGCATTCACTCTGTCTTTCCATTAAGGAAAGGCCTTAGCACATTCTCGTCCCTTTACTGGATTCTGTCACTCTAACTTTTCTGATTCTGTCATGCTACAGGTACTGGAGTAGTTAGCCCAGTTACTAAGTCTTCCAGGAAAACTTCCTGACACTTGCTCCAGCCCAACTCCTTTGTATGCTCATAAAGCCCCATGCTTACTGCTGTCACCTTGTACTACAGTTTGTCTGAATGTCTCTCCCAGTAGACTCCATTCCTGGAGGAAAGACTTATATCCTCCTCGTACACCACTTGGTGCATAATGAGTGCACAAAATAATATTTGTCTCACTGTAGGAGAGTTAGTATTCAAAGCCAGAGTAAGACTCAGTGTGTGCATAGAGGCAAGGGAAAAAATTAAACATGGTAAAGTTGACTTTTATTCAAATCCACCTGCCGGAATTCAAGAGCATTTCTTTAATTGGTTTTTGTCAGTACTCTCAGATTATTCCTTAATAGGATCAAGGGAGAGGCTGTCAGACTAGGTTTGGTAATATAGACTCGACAATGACAAATCTCCTGTGTGCCTCAGAACAATGGCTTACACATTAGAAATGCTGACAGCTTGCTATAATTAGGAGTGTGTTTCTGAGAACCAAAGGTAGAGTCTTGTTTTTTCTCTAATTTGCTTATATTAAAATATGTACCGTGTCTTCCCCTAAATTAGGATTGATTGAATTAATGCTGTTTTAGTATTATGTTCCATGTTAAGTAATTCCAGAATTATGGCTGAGTTGCTGTTACTTCGTTGACACCCAGACTAACTTTAATATAAATAAATGTGGCCAGTTAGTCACTTATTCTCCTTTCCCGTCAGTTGGATTCTAGGTTTTGTTCTGTTTGAATAATTTTGTTGTTAGAGAAGCTGCTAAGAGTCACAGGATGGTATCCTGGTGAGCAGAGTAAAATGAGTCGGATGCTTTTTTATACAACTGGAAGTATTTATGATTTTAGGAAGAGAGGTGAGTTGTTTCTCCCAAGTTATCCCTGGAGAAAATATTTTCTTCTCAGCTGCCCATCCATTTATAGTGAGGTTACTGAACCGCAGTGTTTTTATTGAGAACACTCATGGTGGTCCACAGGAAACTTACCCAGAGGCAATGACGATGAAAATTACTTCTAGAATGAGTTACCATAAATGCTCAGGTGATTGGGAAACAAATGTGTAAAGGATTATGGCAAGAATGTATTATATTTTAAAGTGGGTGGAGGTTTTTAAGGTAGAAGAAGGGACCAGAAAGCTGTGCCTAGGGCCCAGTTCCATGCCCGGTTCATGGACTGCAAGGTAGGTGATTTACCTCTGCAGCTGACTTCACAGAACAGCATGAGCCTTGTTAAATGGCAATAGTGTGTGAAGGGACAGACTGTGCCCTGCAGACATAGTCTTTTTTTCTTTGTTACAAATTATAAATTTGCTCATATTTATATGCTGTTTGTATAATATATTCTTTTCTGTGCTGTTCACAGGCTGATCCCGAAGAACTGATCAAGATGGTCACTAGGCACGTAACTCGACATGGACATGAAGCCTGGCCTGAAGACCTTGTTTCCCTGACCACACAGTTACACTACTACAATGAGCGTCTCCTGGATTTCACTCAGGCTCAAGTCCTTCAGGGCCTTGGGAAGGGTGTGGATGTGCAGCGGTTTACTTC